ACTCAGCATCAGTTCATCTAAATCTTTCCAGGTTTTTTTTTTTTTTTTTCTTTTTCTAATTATCTTTTTTCTTTTCATTTTTATTATTAATTTTAGTTTTCAACAATCACTTCAATACGCTTTTGAGTTTTAAATTTTTCTCTTCCCCTCACCAAGGCGGCTCGCAATCTGATACAGGCTCTACATATACATTCCTATTAAACATATTTTCACATTAGTCATGTTGTAAGGAAGAATTGGAACCAAAAGGAGGAACCACAAGAAAGAGGAAAGTCTATCAAAGTTAGTCATTGCACAGTGTGGCTGTTACTCTGTACGACGTTGTGCTGGTTCTGCTCACTTCACTCAGCATCAATCCATACAGGTCTTTCCAGGTTTTTCTGAAGTCTGCCTGTTCATCATTTCTTATAGCACAATAGTATTCCATAACATTCATATTCCAGAACTTGTTCAGCCATTCCCCAATTGATGGGCATCCCCTCGATTTCCAGTTCTTTGCCACCACATAAAGAGCTGCTATAAATATTTTTGTACATGTGGGTCCTTTTCCCATTTGTATGATCTCTTTGGGATATAGACGTAGAAGTGGTTATTGCTGGATAAAAAGGTATGCACATTTTTATAACCCTTTGAGCACAGTTCCAAATTGCTCTCTAGAATGGTTGGATCAGTTCACAACTCTACTCACAATGCATTAGTGTTCCAATTTTCCCACATCTTCTCCAGCATTTATCATTTTCCTGTTTTGTCATGTTAGCCTACCTGATAGGTGTGATGTGGTACCTCAGAGTTGTTTTGATTTGCATTTCTCTAATCAATAACGATTTAGAGCATTTTTTCATATGACTGTAGATGGCTTTAATTTCTTCAGCTGACAACTGTCTGTTCATATCCTTTGACCATTTATCAATTGGGGAATGGCTTGTGTTCTTATAAATTTGTCTGAATTCTCTATATATTTTGGAAATGAGGCCTTTATCAGAGACACTGCCTGTAAAAATTGTTTCCCAGTTTTCTGCTTCCCTTCTAATCTTGGTTGCACTGGCTTTGTGCAAAAACTTTTCAATTTAATGTAATCAAAATCATCCATTTTGCATTTCATATTGTTCTTTATGTCTTTTTTGGTCATAAATTCTCCCGTTCTCCATATATCTGACAGGTAAACTATTCCTTGCTCTCCTAGTTTGCTGATAGTATCATTGCTTTTATATCTAAATCATGTACCCATTTTGACTTTACAACATACACTCTTAACCTCATCTTAAAACTGGGAATAGTACTTAATAAAAAGGTTGAATTCCACTCTTGCTTCTTAAAACTGGAAACAGTACTTAACAAAACCTGAATTCTGCTGCTACTTCTATAATAACTAAATAGAATGAGGGATGGGATTATATCTTATTCATATTTGTATCACTCACAGTGCTTAGAAAAGTGTTTATTTTTAAAGATTAGGTCTTCCTATCTCACTCAGGCTGGAAGTACAAGGGCTACTCGTGGGCTTGATCCCACTGTGATCGGCATCGGGCTTTGACCTCCATTTTCCAGCCTTGGACAATTTGCTCATCCTTAGACAATGTGGTGGTGCCCACTCCCTAGGACAAACCATAACAATGCCAAACTTAGTTCAGACATCCTATTGATTTGGCCCACTGTGGCTCAAAACTCCCGAGTTCAAGAGACCTGACAGTGACTATTCCCCAGTAGCAGGGAATATAAGCATGTATCACCATGACCAGCAGAAGAGCTCTTTGCACATAGCACATAATCAGTTGATTTTTTTTTGTTTTGGTTAGGCAGTGGGGTTAAGTGACTTGCCCAGGGTCACACAGCTAGTAAGTGTTATGTGTCTGAGGCCAGATTTGAACTGAGATCCTCCTGAATCCAGGGACGGTGCTCTATCCACTACACCACTTAGCTGCCCTCTCAACTGATTTTTTTAATGAAAATAATTTTAATAGAGATAGCTTAGAGTTTTGGGGTTTACTTTGTTTAATTCATCTTCCTTTCCTTCATTTTTTCCTATAGACATCTGTAATAATAATTAGACTTAAACCTAAAATTGGACTGGTACATTATGAAAGAATACATAGTAAACTTCATTATAACTTAGTCTTTCTTGAAAGATAGTAATATACTCTGAATGGTATTGAAACATACATAGACTTTGTCTTTATCAAATGGGTCTAGCATTTTTCTATTCTTCACAAAATGGCTTATATTTGTATAGACTAAAAAAGCTTTGAGAGCACTTTCATGTATGTTATCACACTTCATCTTTGTCTCTCACTAGCCCTAAGCCCATACTTTACCGTATTTATATAATGATTGTATATTTAAGTGATGTATGTTTAAGAGAAGAGGTAATGCAGAGTAGTGGACAAAGAACTGACCTCAGGAAAAGTCAGGAAAGCAAGTCCTGCCCCTAACACATACTTGATTTTCGATCCTGAGCAAGGTTTAACTCTCATGGCACTTCTTACAAATACAACTTGCAGAAAAGTTTGCTTGTTGGAAGTTCCTGACACCAATGAAGTCACATGTCCAAACAAGGGAAAAAAAATATAAGAAAAGCTGTGTTGTTTGTCTTTTGTTCTCAAAGAGGAGCACGACTTCAGGGAAGTGATCCCATGACATGCAACTGAATTGGATTTAAGTGAGGGAGGGCTGTTCACTTTCTCCTCACAGCCATCTGGGTCCAGTGGCAAGCTGTAGGTCAGGATGACTGGAGATGGTCCCCAGACTCAGTGGGGGACCTGGGCTTTTTAGGCTAAGGTCTTTAACAGGCCTCAGTTTGACTGAGGCAGTGCCTATTCAGTGATTAAAGCTAGGTAAAAAATGAGGCAGAGAATGGCCTCTTTGACCTAGTCAGAAAAAAAAAATCAATCTGGGAAGGACAGACCCTCAAGTTTTCTGGCCAAAACAGAAACAGCTGCTATTTACATTCACTCTGAGCCGATCAGGGTCCAAACAATGACCTAGTAGGGCTTGGCCTGGGACCTATTGTTGGTCAGTCAATGAGAGCCAGAATGATTTGGGTTTAAGGCATGGTCTTTAGAGGAAAAAAAAGTTTCAGAGATCAAAATTTACATTCCTTTGAGCAGAGCATCAGAAGGTAAGGGTATGATACTCTATATGGACAGAGAAAAGAAAAGTAAAGAAGCAGTGGTGCATGTTGCCCAGCTAACCAGTTCCAGTTGTTCCCCAGTAGGCAGCTCCTCTTCTACTCACAGAGGTTGCTGTTTGTTTTCAAAGAGGACCATGACAAAACCTGGAAAGACTTGTATGGTCTGATGCTGAGTGAAGTGAGCAGAACCAAAAGAACATTGTTGTGCAATGACTAATATTGATAAACTTAACCCTTCTCAGCAATACAAGGATCTAAGACATCCCCAGAGGCCTCATGATGGAAAATGCTATCCACATCCAAAGAAAGAACTATAGAAGCTGAATCGCTGTCATTTTTTTTCTCTTCTGTTGAGTTTTGTTTCCTCTTTCTAATGGTTCGTCCTATTGGTTTTAATTTTTACTTATAACTTCACTAATGTGAAAATATATTTAATAGGAATGTAAATGTATAGCCTATATGAGATTGTGTGCCGTCTTGGGGAGGGTGGTGGGGAGGAAGGGGGAGAAAAATTTTAAACTCAAAAGCATATGGAAGTGATTGTTGATAAATCAAAATAAATTAATAAAATTTTTAAAAAAAGAAGAAGAGGACCATGAGATTGGGGAGGTGATGCCATGACATGCAAGTGAATTGGATTTAAGTGAGGCAGGGCTGTGCAAAGTCACAAAGTCACCAGCTTCACTTTCTCCAGAGTAAGGCCAGGAAGACCTGGATTTAGGTTTTGTTTCTTCTGACCCATACTAGCTTTCTGACCATCACCAAATCACTTGACCTAATAGTGCCCTGGGCTACTCTTTGAATAAGTTACAAATTGATGGAGGTAATTTCCATTCCTCAAATTCCTTACACTGATTACATTACCTGAGTGAGTGTGTGTGTGTGTGTGTGTGTGTGTGTGTGTGTGTTTATTAGACTCTAAGAAGCCATTTCCAAAGGGTGGTTTTCTGATTTGCCCAGTAAAAACAACAAATGTACACTTTGATTTGTGTTATGGAACAAGCTACTGCTGGTCATTAGTCAAAGAGAAAACTTCTGGACAAAGTGGTGTGAGTAGAGGCACAGCAGCCCAATTCTCATACAAGCATTCCAGAAAAGATCAAAAAATAATACCACAATGATCAAGAAATAGAAAAAAAAAAGTGCAGCTAGTTGGTGCAGTGGATAGAACACCAGCCTGGACTCAGGAGGACCTGAGTTCAAATGTGACTTCAAACATATAATACTCACTAGCTGTGTGACTCAGGGCAAGTCACTTAACCCCAATTGCCTCACCAACAAAAACAAAAAAAAGAAAAATGACAGTGAGTACCTTCGAGTGGCACAATGGAGAGAGCATCGGCTGAGCCTGGGGTCAAGAAGACCCGAGTTCAAATCATAATTTGGACACTTACTGGCTTTGCACTTAACCTGTCTGCCTCAGTTTCCTCAACTATAAAATGGGAATAATAATAGCACCTACCTTCAAACTTCAAAGTGCTATATAAATGTCAGATATTATTTTACTTAATGTAAGAATTATTTTGCTCAGGGCACTGTGATTAAGTAACTTGCTGAGGATTCCCAGGATGTGTCACTGGTAGGGTTGGGTGCCCCCAAGGCTTCCCCATCCCCAAATCTGGTGTCTGTCCTCTGTGCTGTTTCTGGGAAGGATAATAGTCATGTCTGAGTATCTGAAGGACCCTAAGCATTTTCTAAGACTATAAGTTGCAGAAAAGGTGCCAGTCCACATTGGTGGAGGGAGCTTCCTTACACTGGTAAAATCATAGGTCCAACCCCTGATGCTATAATAGTTAAGAATTATTTTAAAGAAATACGTGATTTCAGTTTGGTAAACCATATTTAATTTCAATATTCTTTATTCTTGTTTCAGGTTTCATTTCTCAGGACCCTGTGGCACCACTCTCCCTGAAGCACTTGCCTGCCATGAATCTGAAAAAGTTGGTTGATTATTTGTGAGCATGAGAAAAAAAAATTATTTCATGAGTACTTGGTTACAAATAGTTAAGCCAATGGGGGGGTGGGAAGAAGCAGGGGAAACCTTGTAGGTAGACACAGAATGGTCTCCTGCCCTCAGAACTGGGAATGTAACCAATCAGTAGACATTCAAGTGGTCAGTCATAATGATGATATCAAACACCCATTTTGTGTGGACTGAAACCTGACTTCCAAATGATTATTCCATATTTTATAGTTGTGGTAAAAACTATTTTCAGCTATATAACATGTAATTTATCTGTAATTCTAATAGTATTTTTTTTATGTTCCTAATGGGAGTGTGTAGATTTGCTTTTTTGGGCAGGGGCTAAAGTATTACTTTTCCTCAGTTCTGATGTTTACATAAATACTTTGGCAGAAAATAAATTCACTGTAATTTGTGGTATAAAGAAGTTCATCCAGGATATTTCTCTGTTGGTATACTTTATTATTTTTTTTTCTGTTAATGTATTTTAATGGTGTGGCACATGTTATTTATGTTTAGTGTTTATCTTAGCATCACCCATCCTTTCAGCCTTTTTTCAGTCTTTTTCATAGTCTATTAGACTAATTTCATAGTCATCCTTGACGTTGCCTTCTCACACTTACATCCAGTCATTTACCACATCCTGTTGCCTACTTCCATAGCATCTGTGGAGGGAGTTTCCACAGTGGGGTATGAAAGTACCCACAAGGGGCAGCTAGGTAGGTGGTGCAATGGATGGAGCACCGGCCCTGAAGTCAGGAGAATCTGAGTTCAAATCTCGCCTCGGACCAAACACTTAATACTTACTAGCTGTGTGACCTTGGGCAAGTCACTTAACCCCAACTGCCTTAAAAAAGAAAGAAAAGAAAGTACCCACAAGATTAATATGTCGTGTTGTTTTTTTTTTTTTCTTCAGTCTGGGATTACTTCCAAACTAGCTGCCTTCCATCTTGGTACTAAAACAGTAAGGCCATCAATATTCAGGAAAAATTATCTAGGTGCTATTTGCCTTAAAATCTTTTACATAATTTAATTCTTATTTTTACTTAAAACAAAGTCCAGATTGGTACCCCAAAACTTACTAAGATATTTCAGAATGGAGTGAGTTCTTAGAATTACCAAAATCCTAGGAGTTCTCTCCTGCAATCTTAAAATGATCAACGTCCAAAATCCTTCAAGATTAATCTCCTCAACTCCACAATCTACTAAAATATTTTTAGCAGTTCTACAAACTGTAAGTCAATTTGGCCAAGGCTGAAATGACAGGGAAAAAGTGTCTTGCGGGGTTCCCCCCCCCATAATTTAATCTCCTGTGGAAAGTCTGAAGTGGGAATTAGTCCTGCTTACTTGGACAGTTGCCTGAAGTGTGAAACTTCATTAGTCTTCCCCAGTATTCTAAAGTCTTTTGGCTTCAGCCTTTTAGCAGTTTTTCTGGCTGGCTGCATTTTCCCGTTTAGAAATCTTTGCTTATTTTTACCTTCAGTTGAGTTTTGTTTGATCTTTCTGATGGTTCCTCCTATTGGTTTTAATTTTTACTTACAACTTCACTAATGTGAAAATATGTTTAATGGGCATATAAATGTAAAACCTATGTCAGATTGTGTGCCATCTTGGGGAGGGGGGGGGGAGAAAAAGGGAGAAAAAATTTTCAACTCAAAAGCATATGGAAAAATTTAAAAAAATAAATAAAAATAAATAAAATTCAAAAAAAAAGAGAAATCTTTGTAGGGGGAGAGGGGGCTGGCATCCCATTCACTACTGGTGCAGTGGATAGAGAGCCCTGGAGTCTGGAGGATCTGAGTTCAAATGTGGCCTTACACACGTAACACTTACTAGCTGTGTGTGACCCTGGGCAAGTCACTTAGCACCATTGCCTAGCCCTGCCCCCCCCCAAAAGAAATCTTTCGATAAATTTCTGCAATAGAATCTACAAACAATACAAACACAACACAAGACAGATTTCCCTAGGTTTTACAAAGCAAAGACACAAAAACAGAGGAAATGATACAAGACACAAAGACAATATAAAGAAAAAACCCCTTTTAGGGGGAGGTAGGCAGAAGCTATCACTTAAAGTTGTTCTGTAAATCAAAAGTTCATCTGATCAGAATAAAATTTTTCAGTGACTAGTCTTAATTTCTTTAATTTGCAATAATCATAAGAGCCAAACTAAAACCAATATAAATTGCCAGTCAAATCTCTTAGAAATTTATGTCAGATGTCACATAATTCAATTTAAAGGAATGAGTTGAAGTATTGACCACAGGCTACTTCTTGATTTTAAAAGGGAACTGGTGTATCAGGGCTGGGGCCTCAAGGGCCTCCCCCTTCCCTTTTTCATCCTCAGAGTAAGGGAGTGAATCTTTCCTAGGGAGGAGTGAATAAATATTCTCTAGGAGAGGCAGCTTACAAGCACACAAATTTCTGATCGCCTGTTTTAACTGAGTGATACAATTCTGATTGTCCAGGGAAAGTGTTTGGACACTGCTTTGGAGGACATAGATTTGATTTTATGCCTCTTTTCTTTTCACACTTCAATTTGTTTGATGTTTCTATAACAGGCGCTAAGTTACTTTTGGGTTCTCATTTGGTGGGTTCAAGTGGCCATTTTATTAAAAGCTTAAGCTATTTAATTTTCTTGGCAGCTTCATCAAGACATTTCTTAAGGTAATTAATTTTATCCCAATCAAAAATACCCCAGGTTGGCCAATAATGGGGAGGGGGGGGGAACTCATCTAGAGTCAATTTCTGCCAGTCAGATTCTTGCAGATTTCAGGCCCATAATGTAGACATATGGTCAGCTGCTGTGTCCTTTAGAGGGGGTGGCTTCAGTGTCTTTGGATGTTTGGTTACTTATGGAAACTTGACCAAGATCTTACTTTATTTCAGAATCTTTTCTTCACCAAGTAATGTAAACTACCTAAATTAAAAACCGGGGCTTTAATCAGTCCCCAACCCGAATTAACCTGTAAAACCTGAGACTTTTCAGTCTCAACTGTAGGATCTTCACCAGTCCCCACTCAAGATATCTTCACTGGCCTCCACCCATGGGCACAAATTCCCAAGCCCCTGGGCCTCAGAAGTTGATCAGTGCTATCCCTGGCAGGCCTTTACCAGCCCTGGTGTCCTCCGATACCCAATCCCAGTTTTCTCCTAATAAGCGAACTCAACAGAAAGAGAAGAGAGTTAGGGATTCAAGCTGAGGGCACTTACCAGACGCCTGGGGGAGATGTTGTGTTAAATAGCATTAAAATCTTCCTCCTTGAAAGCAGTTCAAGAATTTAGCTGGAAAATGTGGGGTTGTTCTGACAGAAACCCCGACTGCCCAAAATGAATGATTTAGCACAGATTAACCTTTAACTTTGCTCCTCAGAGGAAAAAAAGGGGGTTTAGTTTTGAGCCATTCGTCATTCCACGCATAGGAGATTACTTGTGACAAAGGAAGGGAGGTAGGAGACCAGACTCTGCTGTCTGGGGAACAGCTCTCAAGCTAGTCTGATCAGAAAAGAAAGTGCCAGAAGGAGAAGCAGAAATTATCTGGAAAAGTAGGTGAGAAGGGAGGGTTTTCGATGTCTGAGAATCTTCTGTTTTATTGCTGAGGCAATAACCATTCCGTTATTTTTTGGGGGGGAAAGGGTAACATTCTCATGCCTGGGGAATATTAATTTTGTGGTATCGACAGAATTTTGAATGCAGTCCAGACTGGACCAGTCTCTAACCTGGGAATGAATGGATGGAGCCGAATGGAGTGAGCCAGAGGCAGGTGTGTCTGGAATCAAGTAGTGGTTTAATTAGTTTCAGAGTGAGGAAAACACAAATAGCAGTCCTCTTCAGTAGAAGGGCTTAACATGTTGGGAAACAGGCACTGCTTATGTACCCACTGGGCTGGACTAACTATGATGTAATCATTTTTAGGTCTTGAGTTCTTGTACCCACAGGTCCTGTATTGTCCCAAGTCTTAGGGGTTGTGATTACTCTGTGGGGTACAAAACCAGAGTTTTGTGATGGGAACAAACAGGAGGACAGTACAAGGAACAGGGATTGTGAGCATGTCAGAGGCTTGAATGATGTTGGCTGTCAGGTCCCTGGGAAATAGGGGGAGTGAGGGGCAGCTAGGTGGCGCAGTGAATAGAGTACCAGCCCTGAAGTCAGAAGGACCTGAGTTCAAGTCTGGCCTCAGACCAAACACTTGACACTTATTAGCTGTGTGACTCTGGGCAAGTCACTTAACCCCAACTGCCTAAAAAAAAAAAAGGAACAAAAAAGAAATAGGAGGAGTGAACACCTGGCACAATCCACTTTGCCAGAGGGTTGAGATCACCGAGAGAGCACAAAGGATTATTGTTATGCCAAGCTCAGGACACAGCCTGCTTGCTGGGCCTTGACTCTGGGAAGTAGGGTGTCTCCAAAATATTTTGACAGGAGCTATATTGAGAATAAATTAGAGAGGGAAGAGACTGAAAGTGGGGGTACTAATGAGGGGGCTATTGCAATGGCCCAGGTCAGAGATAATGAAGGTCAGCACTATGGTGCTAGCTGTGTGAGGGGAGAGGAGGAGACTTGTGGGACACATCTTGCAGAGGGAGAAGACAAAACACTTGGCAATTGATTCGACACAGGGAGGTGAGGAACAGGGAATAATTGATAAGGATTCAGCTTGGGAGACTTGGATGACTGGAAGGATGGTGGGGGTGGTGCCCTAGAGAAAGGAAAGGAAATTTGGAGGACTGAATGGGGAAGGAGGGGGAAAAAATTAATAATAATGGCTCACAGTTATATATTGCCTACTAGGTGTGTGTGCTACAGCTACCCAAAAATAACACTCAGAGATTTTCTAGGTATAAAGTGAAAGATTTATCATGTTCTCGCAAGAAGGGGGCTTCTGCTTCGTCTGGGGCAGTCCGAGCGAAGCGAGGCAAGGCGCAAAGGCCAGGACAAAGGTTATATAGCCCTAACACAGAGATACCCACCCACCACTGGCTTTGAATTCCCATTGGACAGGAATTTCAGCCTTACAATCTAAAATGTGAAACTGTACCCCAGAAACAAGGAATCTCATTATAATACTACCAATCCTAGCTATTTTATCCTTGTTAGTAATTAGCCATTACCTAATGCTGATGTAACAGTACAAATCATGTGTTTTCTAGGAACCTAAAACTTAGGCCTATTGAGGCTAGTGTAACCAACCTTGATTGAGTTTGTAACAGTCTAAGAAATTGCTATGCTTAGTCCATCTGAGAGACCTCACATTGTTTACATTGTTTTACACAGTTAAAAACCAGAGTCTTGACAAAAGTTTGCAAAAAGGAGAGATCTCTTTATTGACTTTCTCGAGAAAGTGCACTCCCATACTGCTTCAGCTGCCCCAAGAGTTCAAGGCAAGACTACATAGACCCCAACGTAGCAGCCCACCCTAACCCCCCTCCCATCGGCTCATG